CACTCTAATTATAAAATGTAATTTTCACCATTTATTTTTTAAATGACAAAAAAAAAAAAAAGGCCGAGCGGGCCGAACCAATGACTCGACCCATGCGGGCTTAGTGGTCCGGGCCGGGTAACACTTTTTTTCCCGGCCCAGAAAGCTCGTATGGGCGATTTTTTTTAAAACGGGCCGTGCACGAGCTTTTTAGTGTGAGGGCCGGTCTGGCCCTACCGACCCGTTTTGACATATCTATGTACATCTAGCATTTTCCATTTTCATTTCACCAAATAAATATTAAGAGTGTGTTTGGGAGAAATTTTTGTGGGATTTTAATCAAAATACAGCCGTTAAAGTCAACCCGTGGGCTTCACTTGTGAGAGAGAGGGTCAAAAATTGTGGCTGATTTGAGAGTTAACGGCTAAATTTTTGATTAAAATTCTGATTAAAATTTCTCCCAAACAGGGCGTAAATCTCACATATCAAAACTTTTCCATTGAAGAACTGTGTATAAAGCTGTTTGTGTGAGAGAGATCAATTGGGAATTTGTGTAGATAGAGATAACACGGTTTTAGGGTGGGTATGGTATTAGTGGGTGTATTTGTTTTTAAAAAATATAATTAACACGAGAACGATGAAAAAAATTAATTAAAATTTAAGAAGAAGGGATTGAGGTAATTTTCCTTTATATATGACCCTCTGGATCCATCAATTGTGGACTTGGAAAATTGGGAAAGAATATTAGAATTTATACTCGATATATTTACTGTCAATGAATTTTAGAGATCGCATTATCAATATCTGTAAATTTTCTAGTTTTGAGCTCAATTTCAACTTTAGTGCTTAAAGCTCGTTTAGTATGACTTTAAAGAAGACAAGATAAGCCTTTGAAACTCAAAAGCTACTTTTGAAACATTTTAATCAATTTTATTAAAGAACTTCTTTTAGTTACAAAATCCAAAACTGATTTAATTTGTCTTTCTTTAAAATCACCAGATTAGGAAATTCTTTTAAAAATTATTGTTTAGACAAATATTAATGTAGCTTCCTCGTAAAATGCTTTTAAACGATACAAAATTGAAGATGTCAAATAGGCCCTTGTTATATTTTCAAAATGCAACCACACAATTTGGTGTAATTTTGAGCAGGGACGAATTTAGGGATTCCCCATGCTATAAGCTCCTACCCCAAAAAAATAAAAAATAATAATAAAACATTTTTTATTATTATTTTTTTTTTATAAAACATTTTCTTTATGTGAAAATACTTTTTTATCGCATCGGCTTTGCCTCTGTATATATATTGAGTAAAGAGGTGATGATAATGAAGAAGAGGACAATAGCATGCATTTGTGGGAGATCTATCTACTCTGTATGTCTATTATTTGACTTAAATGATTGTGTCTAGTTGTATTTGTCTATTTCATTCAATCAATTTCTAATTTGTTGGAAGCTTTTACCAAATTCCATATTTATCCCAAGATGTCATTACTGAGAAAATATTAAACCGACCGAAAAAAATGAGTATAGAAGAATAACAACACAAGGACTTACGGGGAAACCCAAAAATTGGAGAAAAAATATATGATGTCAAAAACAAAGATTTTGATTTTTCACAGTACGAAAATTTGTTGAGATTATATAGTATCAGTAGGAGTTCATCAGCACTCGACATAAATTCCACCACATACCTTGCGTCGGTGCCAAACCAATGTATGTGTGCAAACTTGCAGCCCGTTTACAGCAACATATCCTCTTTCATGAAAGCTAAGGACACGTAATGAGGATAAACATATCATTTCAAAGAATATCATTGTGTCTCAAGGAAAGAGAAGACACACTATTACAGACATTATCAGTATCTTCAATTATTGAATTTGAGCAACAAGTCAAACTTGCTCTACCTCTTTGTCCATTTTTTCTTGAGGTGCCCTAATTGTCCATAAGCCTATCGAATTGTTTTCTTCTTTATAGAGTTATTCACCTTTCAATTGCTAGCCATGAGTGCTCAGGTTTCTATTGGAATATTACTTCCATCACTCACCCACATTATATAAAATAAGTTTTTCGGTAACTCCTGTGAAATTAATAGTTTCCTTAACATAAATCGGAATAGATTTCATATCCTCTTATGAAGATGGAAGAAACCAAACGAGTCTTAAACCTTCGATCCTCATCATAAATTTTAACTCCGTAGTCTTTACTTCATATATGATCTCATTGGGTACACTTAGATGGTTGGAGATTTTCCATAGCTGCACTCATCCAAAAAGAATAAAATTGTTGATTTAGGTATGACCGATTTTAAAGGCTCTTTTCTGATACAACAATTCGAGTTTTTTTTTTTCCATATCTTCTTTATCGTAGAAATTTCGTGTACATTTGCTAGAGCATTCTTGGTCAAGCACATGCGTAGTGTTTTTGCAACTTTCAAATCTAAAATTTTCCAATCTAATGCCAAGTTCGAAGGTGTGCGTGATGCATGGGGTTAGTCACAAATTTGGTGGGATGAAAGCAATGCATTGTGTTGGCATTATGACGTGACAGTAATTGAAGCATGTTATGCATGATTTACTTGCTGACAATATCACATGGACATAATTTAAGGATGAAAGTCTATCGTCATCAATTGTAGGGATTGGTGCGGAAGTAATTGTTCGACAGTAAATGAGAGTATTATGTAACGATCCAACATTTATGTCCAAACAGTTAGCTTATTACATTTTGTTGTCAGACAGAGACACTCCCAAAACGGACATGACATATGGCATACCGACTTCTTTCGCGTCTCTTAGAATTCGAACCTAAAATCTCTATCGTATAAGAAGTTTAAGTTGAATCATGATACTAATTTGAAAACTTGCTCAATTAATATCTAAGTTCAACTTACACATGAAAATGATGGGTAAAAAACCTAATACCAGAAATGAAATGTTAAAAACCATTTGCGCACCCGAGGATCATTGAATCAACGCGTCAATTATTTTTTTATTTTTCACAAGGAACCAAAGGGTTTACAATAACTCATACACACTATGCAAAGATTTAAATGTCTTCTTCGCCATTGAATTTATATCTTCATCACGTTTTACTTACTGAAATTTAAGATACCTTCAAGTGGTTTCTAAACTTTAATATATTGTATTTCATCTTTCACTTATAATATTTCATAACTCACTGAACTATGAAATATTTGTGAGCGGTCACTGAACTTCAATGAATTTCACTCCATCACTCAACCATCATATTTCATCAACTTATACATCTATCATGCTTTACTCATTAAACTTTAAAATACTTTCGAGTGGTCATTAGACTTCATAATTATTTTGAGTATACTTGATTTTTTATAAGATTTGATCTAAATAAAAATAAAATAAAATAGATAATAAGATTCTCAATTTAAGACGAGAAATTGATATTGATCAAAAAGATATAATTTCTCTAGTCGTCAAAGTTATGTTCAAGGGGATAGACGAATGCTAATTTCTAACATAAATTTAAATTTAGATTATAATATTCCTCTACTTAGAAAAAAAAAAATTGGAAAATTATTTATTTATTTCGATTGAGATCGTAGACTCAAATAAAAAAAAAAAATATCTCCAACATCAGTGAAATTTCCGATTTAGAGTCAATAATATTAATCAAGACTAACAAAATATAGCTTGTTTGGGCTCCATTTTATTTAAAAATGCATTTTTTATCTTCTTTTCAATCACATATTCTTAAATAAAATAATATTACACGTAAATTCAAAACAGTTCATTCCTTTTCAACAAAATATTTTTCAAAAAATCATTATCTCAAATTTTTTTTTTCCTAAACCATGATTTTAATGTAGCCCAAACAAACAAGGGGATACTTTTTAGAGTTCTCACAAGGTGATCCAAGAGGAATGGGTGTAACTCTCTTTGTGCAAGGTATTTTATACTTCAATGTTTTAAATTTTTGAAGAGTTGAATTCACTGGGTAAAGTTCAGTAAACACTCATAAATATTTTAAAGTTAAAATACGATGAAAGTATAAGTTCAATAATTAATGAAGCATGTTGAGCGAGCGAAAATGTAACACGTTAAATTTAAATAACAATTCAAGAGTATTTTAAAAATTTAGTGACTAATAAAATACAATAATATGAGTGATGGAGTGCAACGTAGTCACGTAGAGTTGAACTATCACTTTGAATTATTTTAAAATTTAATTAGCAAGGTTCGACGGAGGTATACAAAAGAAACATTTAACTCAATACAAACCTTCAATAACCGAGAAAATCATTAAAAATATCGAAATTCTCCCAAATTTCATTCTGGAATAATCGCGTACCCCAAATACCAAATTCAAACCCCTCCATAGGCTTCTTCTCTCTATCATCACCCCCAATTTTCAATAGATCAATTAGTTATTTTTATTTTTTTTGTATTAAATCCATTAGTCAGTTAATCGATAATTACTGATCAGTTCCATGGCGGAAGAGCAAGCAGAGGTGTCGAATAATGCGCTGGCGGCGTTGGGTCACTCAGTGATACCGATTGTGAACAAGCTACAGGATATCTTCGCTCAGCTTGGGAGCCAGTCCACGATCGAATTGCCGCAGGTGGCGGTAGTCGGCAGCCAGAGCAGTGGGAAATCCAGTGTTCTGGAGGCGCTCGTGGGTCGCGATTTCTTGCCTCGAGGAAATGATATCTGCACGCGCCGCCCTCTCGTGCTGCAACTCGTGCAGAGGAAGAGGAAGGCTGACGGAACTGACGAGGAGTGGGGGGAGTTCTTGCATTTGCCGGGGAAGAGGTTGTTTGATTTCAATGAAATCAGGAGAGAGATTCAGGTGATTTTTTGAATCTATTATTTCATTGAAGTAGTAACTTTTTACGAAGATTTAAAAATTTTGTATTTTTAAAATCGCAGTTGGGCTCGAAAATTAAAGTAATTAGCATGTGCCTAGATATTAAAAAAAAAAGGAATTAGGGAATTTAGCATAAGGTTTGAATTTCAGTGAAACTGGCTGGAAATTTTGGTAATATGTATGGAAGGTCATTTTAACTTTAATGTGTTGCGGTTAATTGTAATGTTTGAAATTTCACATACTTAGTTTGGACATGATCGTGAAACTTGAAAAAGAAAAAGGGAAATCAGTTTGCGTGAGTGTGTTTGGAGTGAAAGGTGGGAATTCTTATTCAAAAGAAGGAAGTTGGATACTAGCTATGAATTTCAGCAAGACCACAATGAGGCCCAGGCAATTTTTTCAGAAGAACTTGGCACTTCTAGCGTGATTAAAATAAAATATGTGCTTGTAAGCACGGTCAATTGCCAGAGTAGTTAGCTTGGAATTTATCTTTTATGAACATGTTGTTGGGTTGCGCTAATGGTAGTAATATTATATAATCCTGTTTATCGGGCAGGGCTGTCATGCGGTATGTTGTAGGAGAGGTTTATTTGTGAAAGTTTGTTTTAATGGTGGAGTTTTAGCTTATTTTAGTCAATGATAGACAATTTGGGCATTCCGTGTTGTACACTACAGAAGTAATATTGGATTGGTCTATGAGGCCGTGGTCACTTTTTGGGGGGTCTGATATCCTATTTTCTAGGTTCTTAAAGACCTTGTTCAAATATAGGCGTCATTGTTTATTTCTCTTTTCCGAAAACATTAAAGGAGTAGGCCTGGGTTTAGAGTTTATAGAATCTATGGATTTCGAGGTCTGATGACAAATGCGGGTCCATTGGTGGGGCGTGGAACTCCTATATGTAAGATAGCATATGTGTTTATTCCCTTTTTTTTTTCTTCAATCTCAAACAACATATTCTATTTTTCACTGCACAGTCTTGTGTTGTTAGACATTTCAAGCCCTTATGACTTCTAAATGCCAAATTAGACCCATCAATGTGCTGCACCAAACTTGTGAATATTCTTGGTGTTATGCTTGTTTGGTATTCTACGTATTGTAATTGAAATAGCTTGCATTTTTCGAAAATATATGAGCAAACTCTTCTTTTAATTCTCTTGTTGGATGTGTGGAGCCTAATTATATTGCACACTTGCCCTCTGCGGTTTGGTTTACAGGCCAGCCCCCTGGTTCAGTGGTTCCCCTAGGCGAATTTTTTTAAGTGATATAAGGGTATTCTGGGAAGTTTGCATGTGTGTTAGATCGTGCTAATATTTCCACTCATATAAGGATATTAGGGTGGGCCTCTTTTCTGGTGGTGTAGAGAGACACAGAGGCGTGAGATGAGAAAACACTGTAACCATTCTTCTTCGATATAGTGAAATCCTATAGCAGCATCAAGTGTTCATAACTCTCGCGTTGTGAGAGTTATGAATCGCGTTTTCTTCTGCTTGTATTCATTTATGTTTGGTGCTATTTATTGCTCTCAGTAGTATGCATGAATGTTTGGCTAGCGCCTCTTCCTCTCTCCTCTCTGTTACTTGAAAGTGGAATGCTATCCTGAATGGCAACAAATCGATCTCTTTTTAAGTATCTGAATGTTAGCCTTTTATTTTAAAAGTCACTTGAATCATGAAGTGCTCGCCCAGGCAAGATATTTAGTTTCTTCTTGTTTGGAATAGTTCTATCATACACCTGTCCTTTCAATAGAAAAATTGATTGGACATGCTACTATAATGAGTGGTTAGCCATAGGAGTTGAGTGAGTTTCTTTCATTGTTGACCGCAGAGGGAAATCACATTGCAAGTGACAAATTTAGGTGCTTTAGGTGTTAAGCCCGCTCTTTTATCTTCCAATCTTATTAGATTCTGATAATAGGTTGTTCTCATAGTTCCTTATGTACAAATTTGTGTAGGCTGAAACTGAGAGAGAAGCAGGAGGAAACAAAGGCGTTACAGACAAGCAGATTCGTCTGAAGATTTTCTCACCAAATGTTCTTGATATTACTCTTGTGGATTTGCCGGGGTTAACTAAAGTTCCCGTGGGTGATCAGCCATCTGACATTGAAGCACGTATTAGAACAATGATAATGTCATATATTAAACTTCAAAGTTGCTTGATACTGGCTGTTACACCAGCAAATTCTGATTTAGCCAACTCGGATGCTCTCCAGATGGCTGGAATGGCCGACCCTGATGGTAGGTTCCTCTTTGTATTAAATACTTTACCACCGAACATAATTTCATTCATTTCCAGAATATCATTGCTGTTGGATTCTAAAGCTCATGCATCTAACTTTCTGCTTGCAGGTTATCGAACAATTGGTGTAATTACTAAGGTGCAATGTATTTACTATGAAGATGTCACCCATTTAATTGCCTTTTGATGTTCTTATACTTCAATATACTTTTCTGAACCTGGTTTTTTAATGTTTTCTTTACTGTTTAAGCTGGATATTATGGACAGAGGAACTGATGCCCGCAACTTTTTACTTGGAAAAGTGATTCCTCTTCGACTTGGATACGTAGGTGTTGTGAATCGTAGTCAGGAGGTAATAGTTATACTTTCCCTTTGACAGTGTTTGTTTGCTTATTGCCTTGTCTTGTTTCTTTTTGTGGACTTCTGAACCTGTTGGTCATTATTGTGCTTAAACAGGATATACTATTGAATCGGAGCATCAAGGATGCACTTATAGCTGAGGAGAAATTCTTTCGTAGTCGTCCGGTATAACTTTACTCTTCCGTCATTAGTTGATATCTCGTCCTTCATTCTTGATCGCTCTGCTCAAGGAAATATTTTCTGTAGGTATATAGTGATCTTGCCGATCGTTGTGGGGTTCCTCAGTTGGCAAAAAAATTAAACCAGGTACATAAAATGAGATGAGTTCTCACGTACCATGACTTTCAGAGTAGATTGCCTGGTTAAGCAAATGCTCTTCTTTTGATTAATGTGGTGTCTGGTAGAACATATTTCTGATTAACGTCTTCTATCTCACATGCAGAGCATAATGCTTTCTAGTGCATGATGCACGAATGGTCTAATCAGCTAGTTATATATGCTTTCCCATGCGCAGGCATACTCAAAGGGTATACACATGCCTATAAAATGGCTAATGGCATACCCTTTTTGTTGCTTACTTGCACGAGATTGCACATAATTGCCATAAAACTTGCTGTTATCTAATACTTGAGTTGCAGACAACAAATGTTAATGATTGTATATTTTTTTATGAAAGTTTTATTTTAATGTCAGAATATGACATTTTTTTTTTTCTCTTTTTATGCAGATACTGGTACAACACATCAAAACAATTCTTCCAGGGTTGAAGTCACGCATCAGTGCTGCATTGGTTTCTGTTGCAAAGGAGCACGCTAGCTACGGAGAGATCACCGAGTCAAAGGTTTGTTCTTATATCTTGTTTGATGATTTTTGCTTGAATTTATTGGGCATACTAAGTGGAGGAACCTTGCATTTCAAATTTACTGAAGGAAAGATGATAAATTTTATGCTTTAATTTTTTTTCTTGCTGGTCTATCGTCCTTAATAGGTGAGAATTAGCAATTGCAAACTGCTAACAGTTTATGCCATAATCTAGGACTTTTTGCATGGAGGTTAACATTTTTTTCCACTGGTATCAATCTTCAGACTGGGTACAGTGATGTTTAATTTTTTTTTACCATCCATTTGTGGCGAACAGGCCGGTCAAGGAGCGCTCCTACTGAACATTCTTTCCAAGTATTCTGAAGGTACTTGGCCTCTATTTTTCTTTATCCAAACATAAAAATTATTCACGGTTCAATTATATTCATGTTCTTAGTTGATTCCTCATTGAACTCCGTAATGTTTGCTTTTAGAGCTGTAAACGAATTGAGACATTCATTATATGTTTGGGGGGTTCATGTTTATGTCCTTGGCTTGTCTCATAAATGATCCAAACTGAATGTGCCTTGTTTTTGAACACAATAGTAATACAATGCACTGACACGCATAAAGTTGTATCTTATCTTTTAGCACAATAAAGCAAATGGATTACAATAATCATTTGTTTATAATGATAAATTTTCCCTGATTATTCGTTCCTTTTATTAATAAAAGTTTCTTGTAACATTCTGCAAATAAAGTTACGAATAAGAATGTCTTGTTGAGCTTCACATACAAGTTAGTCATGAGTGACTTATTTTAACATTGAACAAACAAACAGGAATGTCGTATTTTGGCTTGTCGGATTCGAACATGACCTACTTCCAACTTTTGTTAGCCTTAATTTCGCGTGACATCCCTAATTATACTTAATGATAGCATTTATAGATGGAGTTGCCATTTTGTTTTTGGATACAGCATTCTCTTCAATGGTAGAAGGAAAAAATGAAGAACTGTCAACATCCGAGCTGTCTGGTGGAGCAAGAATCCATTACATTTTCCAAAATATATTTGTGAAGAGCTTGGAGGTTTGTGTTGTTCATTTGAATGTTATTGACATGGCTCGTTTTTTCTGAGATTGTGGATTTTGTTGTAAATTATTTTCCAACTAAAAAACGTGGAGGTGGTTGAGTGTTGCGAAGGTGGTTGAGTGTTTAGAACCAGTCCTTTGTACAACGTACAAGCCATCGCTGCAAATACTATAGAAGTTGTATAGATAGAGAGAGAAATATGAAGATTTTGTGAAACAAGAGGGTAAAAGGTATACTGAGTAAATAAAAAAGAATGATTTCAAACATTAAATGAAAAATAGCATTTGCTTTCCCAGCCAACGGAGACACTTTGGTGAATTGTTTATGAATAAAATCTCTGTAAAGGCCATTTAGATTTTTTGCCCTTCGTTTTGTACTTTGGCAGGAGGTTGATCCTTGTGAGGACCTAACTGACGATGATATCCGCACTGCCATTCAAAATGCAACTGGTCCCAAATCTGCATTGTTTGTGCCTGAAGTAGGTTCTCAATATTGACAATCTCTTTTCACCTGTGCTGTACCTTTGATTTTTTAAAAACCTGAGTGCTTTCTCTCTTTTTTTCCCTTTACTTTTTCTTTATTTTTTAGGCCTTCTATCTGATGTTTTAGCATGCAAAATGCAACCAAACTTGTAGGTCCCTTTTGAAGTTCTTATTAGAAGACAAATAGCTCGCTTGTTGGATCCAAGTCTTCAGTGTGCTAGGTTCATTTATGATGAGCTAATCAAGGTACATCTTGCTAGTAAATTTCTCATGCATTTTAGGCTTATTTATCTTTGCACCTGGTCATTAACTTTAATGCTTTCTATTAGATGAGCCATCTATGTATGGTCAATGATATGCAACGGTTTCCTGTCCTAAGAAAGCGCATGGATGAGGTTATAGGTAACTTTTTGCGAGAAGGGCTTGAGCCTTCGGAGACAATGATAGGACATATTATTGAGATGGAGGTACATGCGACTCCTTTATGGCTTTCCGTCTTGTATTTCTGCATTATCGAGATACGTACGTTCAATGAATAGATTCCAAGAGCTGCTTGGTAATTTGTGAACACTGTACACGAAACCTATTTCAGTGATTCTTCTTCCATGAATGTGGTTAATTTCATCATTCTTGTTTCTTTTGCTGATTTCATAAAGCAACCCCATTCCAGGCATAATGAATTTCCCCAGGGTGGTTCAGGTTTTGGGTGCAAAATACACTTTTGAGCCATCAATTTCCACCATTCTTTTCTCATCCTACGGCTTGTCATCATTTTTAACATTGATTATTCAAGATAATGTAGAAATGATACGTCCTTCACACACCAATTTGTTGTCACCATTAGAGTTTACCTTGTTGAAGTCAAAATTTAGTGATAAGACATGTTGTCCTCTCAAATAGTTTAAACTTTTAGTTAAATTGGTTAGC